GCCTGGGCTGGCTGGCGAAAAAACAGGAAAGTGTGAGGTGCGATGATGTTGCCATGTGCACAGTGCTTTCCTAGTCCTTGGTCTCTCCACTTCGAACAAGCGGCAACATCGTTGTGTAAGTCGTGTGTCACTAACAACTGAGCTAAACTAGCTAAAGGCCCACAGAGCGATGTAGGTAGCTCTTTTTTTCAGAAGCGACCTGGCAGCCATCACAAACGGACAGCCCAATGAAGTGGCCTCATCGTCGTGTGGACATTGATAGCGGTGGCCAAATACTGTCAGCGCGTGATGTCGATTCTAGTGATGTCGATTCAAGTGATGTCGATTCGAAATGTGGAGGGAAAAACCAGAGGGACCCGGAGAAAAATTCCATGGGGGGGGGGGGGGGGGGGAGAGAGGGAGACACCGCAAACTCCAAATATACAACAGACGTCAGGATCAGGATCGAACCCACAACTTCCTGCGTACCAGGTGAGGGAGTTAACACTTCACCACTGGACAGGATTGCGTCTCAGTCCCTTGCTGCGCCTTTATTCCTCACCCCATGCCGCAACCTGCCCTCGTGAACCACCTCGGTGTCGTAATCGTCATTTATTTTTCCAAATGTTCAATGCCATGGCAAAGCGCACCATTATAGCCAACCGGAGACAGCACGCTCCCCCAACACGGCAGGAATGGGCCAATGAATTTTCAAACAAAAAATTGCTGCTCTAGAGCGTCGAAGGGCTAGGGAGAAAGCTTGCCACCAAACATGGAGCCCCTTCACTGCTTCTACTCCAGTGGGCATTGATTCTTAAGGACATTCATTCGGGCATTTAGGCACCTCCCCCCTTTCCCCCCTCCTCCCTTCTTCTTCTACAGGGGCATCATCACTTAGGACGACATCAGGGTTGTAGAGTTTATTGAAACAGTTTATTAAAACAAGCGGGTTTAGAGAGGATTCCATTGCATTTTAATTCGTCATGTGTGGTTTGTGCTGGTGCCCAACCACCTTTCATATCCTCTGCTGTGTGTAGCTGAATCGTTTTGTTATGAAAACATACTTTTGACAGAAAAGAAAATCACCATCGTCAGCCATGATCCATCCGCTGCTGGATGAAGGCCTCGCCCCCCCCCCAAAGCTGTCGCCATCATCCTTCGCAGTCCCGCTATGAAACGATTCTCCTAGCAATGTGGTCTCGGCGTCTCGCCGCTTTGTCTGCCTTGTCATCTCCCACTCTGCATAGTGAGCTAACCGCTGCGCCACCGCTCCTCACCGCCACGTGCAGTGTCAACATCACCACGTGTTGCGACCCCCAACGCTGTTGGGTGGACAGCCTTGGGTCTCTCCGTCTCTTCCTGCCCCTTCATTCTCGCCTCGTACCCCGAACCCAGCCTCTCTCTCTCCTCCCTTGTGAACTAAAACAACAATATCATCATCATCATCATCAGGCATGATCCATCCACTGCTGGATGAAGGCCTACTCAAGCTATCGCCCATCCATCCCCTTCCCGCGATGCCAACAGTCCACCGTGCACGTCGTGTCTTGTCGTCCCACTCGCTCGCTCGCTCGCTCATCCATCGCCATCTCTCTCTCCGTCTCTCGTCCCTCCATCTCTCACCAGTCAAGCAACCGCGTGCCAAGCTCCCCTTGCCTCGTAGCATCTTTAAAAACACGCCACCTCCCTTATCGCCGTCACGTGCGTTGTTAAACCAGGGAGTTGGGGGGGGGCTTTTTACGTAAGGGCCGAATAGGACTTGCAACTCGGTGACGGTGACGTCGCGGCGGCGCCTGTGCCGGGCCAGGTGCACTTTGAGGCCATCACGTGAAGTGTCGAAGGCTCGCTGACAGTAGAGATGTTAATTACGTTGCCTGATATACAGGAGGTCGTGGGTTCGATCCCGACCCTGACGCCTGCTGTATATTTGGAGTTTGCGTGTCTCTCTCTCTCTCCCCGTGGTCACGTGGATTTTTCTCTCCACTTTTATTATCGACATCACGCGTTTAGAGTATTTGGCTGCTATAAATGTCCACACGATGATAAACCACTTGACTTGGCTATCATTTGTGGCCTGGTCGCTTCTTTAACAGCTATATAACTCTGTGGGCCTTTACCTGGTAAAATCTTTATATTTTTAAGTTTCATTCTCCCCCAAGTGTTCGTATAGTACAGTGCCGGGCAATTGCTTTATATGGCTGGCCAGTCCAGCAGTGTCGCGGCTGAGTTAAGTGTTCGCAAGTTGCATCTACGGTTTACAGAGTGAGTAATCGTGCCGCTGTAAATGTCCGCGTGAAGCCCCTTTCGTCGAGTTGTGGTCTGCGGAGAGCGCCAGCTCATTCGGCCTTTTAACCTGGGGGGGTGGGGATGGGGAAATAAGAAAAATAGTTTCTGTTTTATAGTTTGCCAGTGACACAACAACCACCGTAAAAATGTGCCTCATCTCATAATTTCCCCTTGGCTAGAGCTGCGTGAAGTTTTGGTGGCTTGTGCCCTGTTGCGCGGGCGGGGTTGGGGGGGCTCGACGCGTGTGTGTGTGTGCGTGTCACCTCTCGTACGCGCTGTGGGGAGCGGTGGCGCAGCGGTTAGCGCGACGCTGCGCTACGAACTCTGCGACCCGGGTTCGATTCCAGCTCACGGCCGACACCTGTGACGATTATCTGAACCGGTCCTGGGCCTCCCCTAGGTCGACTTGGACTTAAATGAGTACTTGGTGCGGTGTGTAGTAAACATCACCACTGGGGAGGCAAAGGTGGTCGGGGGTGGTGTTGGCCACCCACCCCCTCGTGTGCCATGCCGGCCTTCATAGGTGCTTACTTAACAGCACTTTCCCCAACAGTCTGTTACAGGCTATACGGGGGATCTTTGTCTTTGTACGCGTTGTTCCCGGGAGCAGGGGGGGGGCCCAGGGCATCTCAGCTCCGGTGTCCTCTCCAAGGTGCCACACATCCCAAGGTAGCGGGGACGACACTCCTGAGTCTTGGCCTCCAGAGACTCGGTGTGAAGCTTCCTCCTGGGTACTGCGCTAAGTGGTTATTATCATGGTGGGGGGGGGGGGGTAAGTGAAGTGCCGGCCACGTAGCTCGGCGATGGAAAGGTTTGCGTGTTCAAATCGTGGTGTTCGAGGTTGTTCTCGGCCCATCGTGTAATCGACAATCTCGAAAAGAGAGCGAGGAAGAGAGACATAGATCGACTCTGACCAGCGAAGAGGGACCACACAGAGCTCCTAGCAGTTTCCCAAGCTCTGCAGTCCTCTGTATATGAAGATGATAGAGGTTGTTCTCGGCTCCATCATATCATCAATAGACAGAGATCGACTCTGACCAGCGAGGAGGGACCACAGACGAGCTCCTAGCAGTTGCCCAAGCTCTGCAGTCCTCTCTGTACGCTCAGGTTGTTATCAACGAGCTAACGAGTGTTTGGGAGGAGACCAGAGCACACGGAGAGAACGCGTGCGAGGGGAGAGGTGGGGGGGTGTCAACATCTATTCCATGCAGATGGAACAGGTGGAGTCCTTCCGGGGGGTGGATAAAAATGAGTACCAATTTAAATTTTGATCTAAAGCTTTCGTGACTGCAGGGATTCATATTCTTGGTTCCTTCGGTAAAGTCACGTAGAAGGGAAACAATAAAATAATAAAAATATAAAACAATAAAATTCCCACGACGTTTCCACTGCAACACAAGCAATCATCGTCAGGTGTGAAAAACACAGCAATAATTTGTTTTCACACCTGACGATGATTGCTTGTGTTGCAGTGGAAACGTCGTGAGAATTTTCTTGCTTGATATTTTTATTATTTTATTGTTTCCCTTCTACGTGACTTTACCGAAAGAACCAAGAGTATGAGTACCAATTTGTGAGGAAGACAACAGGCTCGGGAGGGGGACCGCGTGGGCGGGGGGGGTCCTATGGATAGCCAGGCCCCTACCATAGGAATGTGGAATGTTCTACCACGGGCTCCCTGGCCCTGCAGGGCTGCGGAGCAGGAGGGGGAGCGGTGCTGACCTCGCCGCTCGTTTGTGGTGAAGCAGATCGCTGCGTTTTGTGCGGCTGCAACATTCTTGTGGTTGTTGTTCTCGATGATTGTTGAATCGCTGGCAGCCGTGCGAGGGAGCGACGCTGAATGCGCTGAGGGTGATGGGACGCGCACGGGAGGACGCGTTGCGACGTAGCAACGCTGACAGCAGAGATCTATTCACCTCTGGGCCGAAGGTCAAACGTCGATTGCCATAGGTCGCTGTCAGCTGAGCCGAGTCTCAAAACGGTGTTAGACCAGAGGACGCCAAGAGGCATCCTCTGGTCTAACCGTTTTGAGACTAGGCTCAAAAGAAATCTGTCTCTGGTGTGAACCAATCGGTTTCAAAGACAATGGATATATTATCAGAGTGTGTTTTTTGTTTGCATTCTGACCACAAGCATTGTGGTTAATGCAGACATGATTCCTTGTAAAAGGTTTCAGTTTGGTGTTTTGTTGCCAGACAAAAGGGGAAAACCTATTCTAATGTGTAACATATGTTAAACACGCATACACTGGCACACACATACACACGCACCGGTACATGTGTGAATTTTAAACCCCAAGATCGATTGCATTCTTCTTCACGTGGCCATAATTTACTGCAGTTGATTGATTAATTAATTGCTTCATTGATTGCTTGGCTGATTGGTTGATTGACTGGTTAGATTCCAGCTGTGACCCAGGCTGACCTTTGACCTCCCCCGCTCCACCCACCCCCTCCCACCCACCCCCAAGCTGGGATCATGAACCTTTACTCGAAGCTCACGGCGAGTGTCGTCTTGTCTTGCCCAATCGGGTCGTACCACCATCACCCGCCAATCTTCCCTTCCCTCACGCTCCCTCCCCCCCACACACAACCTGTGATATGGTACGGCCCATACCTGGTTTCCCACAGGTGTAACGAAAACATATAAACACGTACCAGTGAAATGGTGGGAGCTGGGGTGTCTGTTAGCGCAATCAAGTGCATCATCATCGTCGTCGTCGTCGTCGGCCACGATCTCTCCGCTGCTGAATGAAGGCCTCCCGAAGAGGTCGGCCACCTCTCCCACCGTTTTGTTGATTCGACCGATCGACCGCGAGCTCGCTCCCCTGCCCTTGGCTGCCGGCCATCATCCCTTCTCGCGAGGGGGTCCTGCCCAACAAATACTCCGCCACGTTCGTCACTGCGTGAGAGTGTGAGCGTGTGCCACTACAAAGGGGGAGTGAGCAGTAGTCTAGCGGCTAGCGCGCAGCGCGACCAACCTGGCGACCCGAGGGCGATTCTCCCTCGCGGCCAACACCGGTGACGATTGTCTGAACCGGTCCTGGGCTTCCCCGAGGTCGACTCAGCCTCAAGTGAGTACCTAGTGCGATGTGTAAACTTCGCCACTAGGCGATCGGGCGTGGTGCTGGCCACCCACCCCCTCGTGTGCCGTGCCCGCCTTCGTAGGTGCTTTCCAACTGCACTTGCTCCAACAGTCTGTTGCAGGCTACACGGGGGATCTTTGTGTTTGTATGTCATGGGTGACGTTTCAAGCAGTGGCCCTTCTTCGTAGCATGTAGACCTAGAGGCCAGCAGAGAGACAGTGGGTAATACGTTGGAGACTGCACTTGTTTAAACCATGTGGCCTATAAATTTCGATTTAAAGCTTTCGTTACTGCAGGGATTCATCTTCTTGGTTCTTTCGGTAAAGTCTGTCGGGAAAACGCTGTCTCCCCGACAGACCTGGTCTTCACCTGATGACGGCTGCTTGCGTTGTGGCCAAAACGTCGTGAGAATTATTTTATTATGTTTTTTTATTGTTTCCATTCTATGTGACTTTACCGAAAGAACCAAGAAGACCGTGGGGCCTGATGAGAATTCTATATATTTTTTATATTTTCCTTGATGCCCAGTTTTTAAACAGGCATATGAATAGCTGCCCAGCACGAGCTCTTGAACATAAGCGTGGGTTTTGAATGTGGGAATTAGAGGTGCCACAAGAAGCTGGAGAAAACAGATTTAAGTTGCAAGGGGCACCGCAGTGGCGAGATGTTATCTTCTCGCCTGGTATGCAGGAGGCTGTGGATTCGATCCTGACCCTGATGCCTGCTGTATATTTGGAGTTTGCATGTTTTCTCTCACCGTGGTCGCGTGGATTTCTGTCCGGGTCGTCTGGTTTTTCCCTCCACGTTTAGAAACGTGCGTTTAGAGTATTTGGCTTCGTAGAGGGAGAGAGCGAGAGTGGATGATGTGAAGATGCAAGCGCGCTGCACCCTCTCCGATTGCATTGGGAAGGTGCTTGGTCAACGCTCTTGCCCGTTGTTGGTGTGATCTGTGCGCACCAACCAGTCCTGGAGGTTTTGTTATTTCTGTGGAATGAACAGAGGGAGTAGTGGTGGTTCCAAGTGATGTGAAGTCGATGCGGTGTCAACGCCGGTTACGACGTCTCTCACGAGCGGGAGTTCTCTGATCCACGCGTGCCTCTCTCCGCCTCGGCGCGCGGTTGGCGCTTTGTTCAACGTTTGCTCGCTTTCCCCTTGCCCCCACGAAGTGTCAATGTTTCTCATCCATTCGTCGCAGCAAGGTCACACGTGTACGTGCGTGGGCGCGTGCGTGTGTGTATGTTGAACTTCTGTCATGCCGTACGTAGCCAACCGTGCTAATCGTACGTGCAGGGGGTGGAAGGGGAGGGGGGACAACAAGCTAAGGACAAAAATGAGTTCAAAATAAATTACTTTGTCAATCTTGAACATTTAAAAGTGCATAGTTCCCAGCGGCTTCTTAAATATCGCAAGGGAAGAGCGTTCCAGACGGCCGCAGAAGCGCATCTAAACGCGCCGTGTGAATCGGCGACCGTCTGTGTTCGATGGCCAACCGGAAGCCGCCACCGCCACTGCGAGGATGACCGGAGTTCGCGTGATGATGGCTGACGATGCTCCTTGACGAGATCCGCGAGGTTATTGCGGTTCACTTGCGGCGAGCAACTTCGTGCGTAATGAGTGCGACTCCCTAGCGAGTGGAGCCTCAACAACAGCAACAGCAACAATCGTGTAATCTATCCACAAGAAAGCCTTTGCTGGGTCTCGAGAAACAAAATTATTCTGGATGGAGTCGCGCGCACAAACACGTTTGGCCCTTTTTGCCGCGGGATGTTTCACTTCCTGCGCATGCGGCAGGGAAGTCCCTGCTCCCCGGACTTAATCTTCCGAGCACCACGCCGGCCAATCGCTCCAGCGCTCGCGCACACAGACGGGTTCGGGAGAGAAACGCGCGCCGTTCCCGCGGCATTCTCGCTTGCCCGCTGGATTTCGGTGCTTTTCTTCAATCTCCGTGTGATCCAGCGACCCTCAATAAAAAAATTAATAAGACGGTAGACTCGAGATTGTACGCGCTAATCGCGGGGGAGGACGGCCGTGGATAATTAAACCTAAAAAATATCACCGTTTTCTGTGCATCTCCACTAACATAGGTATAAATTATGTTTAAGTTAAGAAAATTTTGTGAGTTAATGAACAATAATTTGTAGTGAAGAATGCATTGATCTTGTTTTATTACAAAAGTCCTTGCAAAAACACATACTGATCGGATGAATCGCTCAAAATGAAGCACAACTGACCATTTCGATTGTTACTCTTTTGATTTAAAACGAACACAAACGATCGACGATTTATCGATGCGCGTGCTCAGTGATAGTAACACTTTCATAATCAACGTTTTTGGGTTAGATCGCGTTATTTATAAATGTGTCGTAACCCTCCACCACCTGACAAAAAGACAAATAGTTCACTACTTTAGCCCACCGGTGTGTTGAAGTGTGAAACCACAACATTTACAATTTTTGAGTAGTACGACGTTTCGCTGGTAATTACGTCCAGCATCATCGGGCAATTCGCCAGAATGGTGAGGCTCTGCTTTTGCCCTCGCTCTTAAATAGAGCAGCAGCAGCAGGGTGACGTCATCATTTAACTCATCAGGTGCAACGATTCGAGGGGGAGGGGGGGGGGGATTATTGTAATTATATACTAGATTAGTAATCACCACAGCCAAGACTCAGCAGCAGAGCCACGCCAATCAACAGCAATCAAACTCCGCCACCCACTGTTGTAAAGATATTGCAACTACTGTACTGTAGAGGCGATCACGTGGAGTTTCGGATGAAGTGGAGCAACATAGTTTAAGCACGTGACTTGTAATGAACATTTCCAAAAATAACAATGTATCACCGCTTTTAGATGATTCATTTGAGCTTGAGGGAAAATCCACGAGTCGATAATGTATGTCAACACCTCAGGTGCGTGCGGTTAATCCGCAAATCGGATGAACGGCACGTGGACACATCGAGAGTCTCCTGTAGTTTGTTTTTAATGGCGGGACCCCTTCTTTATTTACACAAAGGGCCATCTCGCAGCAGCGCTCTACACGCGATTAGCGACTTGCATCTCAAACATTTGCATGAGTTTCACCCCGTGACCCCCCCCCCCGCTCTACCTACCCGCCCCCCCATCCAGTAGAGGGCCATCCATTTAGTACGTACACATGGAGGGGGAGTCTACTGACAATGTACGTACGCATAGGAAACGAGGGGGGGGGGGGTTGGAGCCTCGATAATAATTTGTCTACATCGGCCTTCAAATAAGTTAGATAGTCCGGCGATGGACTATCTGTTTGCTTAAACACGTTCATATTATTAATCCTTGATCGTTTCTGCGTGGATTAAATCTCGGCCGTTCTATAGGATTCGGGGGGGGGGGGGGGGTGCGTCAGGCGAACGTACGCAGGGGGGGGGGGGGGGGTGTAAAAAGTATTCGTGCGTATAGGGAGGGGGTAGGGGTCAAGTTTTGATCAATTTTTTGCGTACGGACTAAATGGATGGCCCCTAGCTGCCAATGCATCTCCTGTGCGTGTCCCGAGCGATGTCGGACTTGGCACTCCGGTACCAAGTGCCAACGCCAGCCCAGGGCTCTCTGTGCCCCCCGCGTCGTGTTTTCTGTAACCCGCCTGCCAGTGCGCGTGTGAGCACAACGGGCAGCCGTGCCACACTCCTCTAGCGCGCGGGACGCTCTCTCTGTCTCTCTCTCTGTCTCTCTCTCTGTCTCTCTCTCTGTCTCTCTGTCTCTGTGTCTCTCTCTCTGTCTTTCTCTCGCGGCGACGACGACCCCCCTTCGTCAGCGCTAAGCGACGTCGTCCCTGTCTTCCCCCCGCAGGCCTCCGCAGGCCGACGTCACCGCCAGGGGCAATGAAGGCCAGTCGGCGCGGCTCCACCGCCGGCCTCACGCTCCGGGCCGCGCTGGCGATTATCGCCGCCCTCCTGCCCTCGTGCCCCACCGCCGTCGCCACGCCGTTCTCGCCCGACGTGGAGCTGCAGAAGATGGTGCTGGAGCCGAACTCGGGCGCGCTCATCGTGGCCGGCGACAACACGCTGTTCCGGCTGGCGCCCGACCTGAGCGTGGAGCGCACCGAGGAACTCTGCTGCTCCCCCTCCTCCTCCTCCGCCTCCGCCGCCGACTGCCCCAGCATCACCTGTTCGGGCGGCGGCTCCGGCCAGCCCTGCCGCAACCCCGTGATCATGCTGACGCTGCTGCCCGGCGCCGCCGAGCAGCTGGTGGTGTGCGGAAACGCGACGTGCGGGCCGCTGGAGGCGGGCGCGTGCGAGGTGCGCTCGTCCGCCAACCTGTCGCGGGCGCCCCACTCGGACGCCAAGTACTGCACCTACAGGTACACCAAGGTGGCCGGCGAGCAGAGCGCCGCCGTGGCCGTGGCGGCGCCCGGCGGCGCGGGCAATGTCCTCTACTTGGGCCTGGGCCACGCCAACTCGTTCAGGGGCCACCCGCTGTCCATGCAGGACCTCAAGGGCAACGTGCTGTGCCGCATGGACCACGCCTCCATGGCGCTGTGCAACCCGTACGGGCTGTACGAGCACCTGTTCGTGGCGGCCTTGGCCACCGAGAGCCACGCCTTCTTCGTGTTCCGGCGGAGGAACGGCACGAGCAAGGCGGTGGCCGGCGCGAGCCACCCGTACCTCACCTACGTGGGCCGCCTGTGCCTCGACGACGTCAACTACTACTCCTACGTGGAGGTGCCCCTGCGGTGCGAGGGCCGTCCCGGCGGCGGGCCCGAGAGGCTCGCGAGCGCCGCGTGGCTCGGCGAGCCGGGGCCCGCCTTGGCGGGAGGGGGGGCCACCCTGGTGGTCGCGTTCGTCGACGCGGGCGGCAGGAAGCGCTCGGCGCTGTGCGCCTACCCGCTGAGCGCCCTCGACGCCAAGATCGACGAGACGAGGCAGGCGTGCTACACCAAGCAGAGCCCCAGGAGCAACGACGTCTACCTGCCGTACCGCGAGAACGACGGCGAGGACTGCACCGCCAACACGCCGGTGAGGTTTCCGGTTGCCTGGTTTGCCGGTGGCGGGGGGGGGGGGGGGGTGGTGGTTGGGGGGGGCTTGTGAAAAACTGCCGACCCCCCCCCCCCCCCAAAAGTCGTCGTCCCCCCTCACCCCCACTCCCTTCCTGCTTGAGGAATGTCTTCAGATACACATGGGAGTGGTGGTGAGTGGGGTAGTGGTGGTGAGTGGGGGGGTGAGTGGGGGGGGGTGAGTGGGGGGGGGTGAGGAGTGGGGGGGGGTGAGGAGTGGGGGGGGGTGAGGAGTGGGGGGGGTGAGGAGTGGGGGGGGTGAGGAGTGGCGGGGGGTGAGGAGTGGAGGGGGGTGAGGAGGGGGGGGGTGAGGAGTGGGGGGGGGTGAGGAGTGGGGGGGGTGAGGAGTAGGGGGGGGTGAGGAGGGGGGGGTGAGGAGTGGGGGGGATGAGGATTGGGAGGATGAGTAGGTGAGTGGGGGAGGTGAGTGGGTGGAGATGCCCAGCTCCACAAGGATGGCATCGCACGGGGTGAGGAACGCCGCCAGGTCCACCTGAGGGTGGTGAGTGGCTGGGGTGAGTGGCTGGAGTGAGTGGGTGATTGATGAAATGAGTAAGCGGACGATAGAAGTCTTCCGCCATCACAAGTGTGTCCGTCTCTCCTCCTCTTGTTGGAAGACCCTACTGGCCACACGCACGGCCTTCTGGGAGCGCACAATTTGAGCAGCATTGGTTCAATACGAGCAAACTTTGGCCCGGTTTCGACACGCACAGGTCGGGCTCACTTGAATCGATAATGGGACATCTGCCAATCGTTTATAGGCAAGGCCCACTGCGCTGTCAGCTTCATTGTTCAGATGCGGCCTGGCCATAAACGACAGCTGAACGAAGTGGCTTACGATGTGCAAATTTTTAGCGGCCGAAAGGCAAGCAAAGTCCAAATATACAGCAGCAGCAGCAGGCGTCAGGGTTGGGCTCAATCCCCCCAACCTCCTGCATGCCGGGCGAGGTAGTTAACATCTCACCACCGCAGCAAGTGGAGGCCTGGGCCACGTCACAGCCCCCCAATATTCCGTATTGAAGAACGATTACACAAAACACTCTCGTCTCTGACACTGGCCTTAATAGGCTCTCGCTGACACTGCCCCCCCCTCCCGTGTGCCCCCCACCCCCACACCCACCGTGCCGCAACCGAAGGCGCACAACGTGGCGCAGTGGCCGTGCGGCAGTGACCACCTGACCAAGATCCTGGCGAGCCGCTCGGGGGTGTCGCGCCGCCCGCTGCTCGAACTCAACGTCACGCTGCTCACCTCCGTCGCCGTGACGACCGAGAATGGCCACACCGTCGCCTTCCTGGGCGACCACGACGGTTTCCTGCACAAGGTGCGCCCCTCTCCCCACTCCCCCCCCTCTCTCTCTCCCGCACGACCCAACGCTCCAAGCTGAGATGTTAACCACCTCGCCTGGTATACAGGAGGTCGTGGGTTCGATCCCGACCTTGACGCCTGTTTGTAACCACTTTGCACGCTGGCGAGATGTTAACTACCTCGCCTGGTATACAGGAGGTCGTGGCTTCGATCCCGACCCTGACGCCTGTTTGTAACCGCTTTGCACGCTGGCGAGATGTTAACTACCTCGCCTGGTATACAGGAGGTCGTGGGTTCGATCCCGACCCTGATGCCTGCTCTATATTTGGAGTTTGCGTGTCTCTCTATCCCCGCAGTCGCGTGGATTTTTCTCCGGGTCCTCCACATTTAGAATCATCATGTGTTTTAAGAGCATTTGGCTGCTATAAATTGCCACATGATAGGCTACTTGGTTGAGCTATCATTTTCGATAGCCCGGTCGCTTCTGAAAAAGAGCTGGATAGCTCAGTGGGCCTGACCTGGTAAAATAAAAAATAGTTCATAGTTTAGTTTTAGTAGTTTATTCTGTAGCGATCGCCGTGCAAAATAACCACGGTCCCTTACCCACCCCCCACACCTCGCTTGAGCTTCACTCTCAGACGCGGACGAATTTCTGTGTAAAGTAACCACGGTGCCTGAGCCCCTGCCGCTGCTGAACGTAGTAGTGAGTGTCGTGGTGAGCGTCTCGGTGGGCGTGGCGGTGAGCGTCGTGGTGAGTGTCGTGGTGAGCGTCTCGGTGGGCGTGGAGGTGAGCGTCGTGGTGAGTGTCGTGGTGAGTGTCGTGGTGAGTGTCGTGGTGAGTGTCGTGGTGAGCGTCTCGGTGGGCGTGGAGGTGAGTGTCGTGGTGAGCGTCTCAGTGGGCGTGGAGGTGAGTGTCGTGGTGAGTGTCGTGGTGAGCGTCTCGGTGGGCGTGGAGGTGAGTGTCGTGGTGAGCGTCTCGGTGGGCGTGGAGGTGAGTGTCGTGGTGAGTGTCGTGGTGGGCGTCGCGGTGGGCATGGAGGTGAGTGTCGTGGTGAGCGTCTCGGTGGGCGTGGAGGTGAGTGTCGTGGTGAGCGTGTCGGTGGGCGTGGAGGTGAGTGTCGTGGTGAGCGTCTCGGTGGGAGTCGTGGTGAGTGTCGTGGTGAGTGTCGTGGTGAGTGTCGTGGTGAGCGTCTCGGTGGGAGTCGTGGTGAGTGTCGTGGTGAGTGTCGTGGTGAGCGTCTCGGTGGGCGTGGAGGTGAGTGTCGTGGTGAGTGTCGTGGTGAGCGTCTCGGTGGGCGTGGAGGTGAGTGTCGTGGTGAGCGTCTCGGTGGGCATGGAGGTGAGTGTCGTGGTGAGTGTCGTGGTGAGCGTCTCGGTGGGCGTGGAGGTGAGTGTCGTGGTGAGCGTCTCGGTGGGCGTGGAGGTGAGTGTCGTGGTGAGCGTCTCGGTGGGCGTGGAGGTGAGTGTCGTGGTGAGCGTCTCGGTGGGAGTTGTGGTGAGTGTCGTGGTGAGTGTCGTGGTGAGTGTCGTGGTGAGCGTCTCGGTGGGAGTCGTGGTGAGTGTCGTGGTGAGTGTCGTGGTGAGCGTCTCGGTGGGCGTGGAGGTGAGTGTCGTGGTGAGTGTCGTGGTGAGCGTCTCGGTGGGCGTGGAGGTGAGTGTCGTGGTGAGCGTCTCGGTGGGCATGGAGGTGAGTGTCGTGGTGAGTGTCGTGGTGAGCGTCTCGGTGGGCGTGGAGGTGAGTGTCGTGGTGAGTGTCGTGGTGAGCGTCTCGGTGGGCGTGGAGGTGAGTGTCGTGGTGAGCGTCTCGGTGGGCGTGGAGGTGAGTGTCGTGGTGAGTGTCGTGGTGAGCGTCTCGGTGGGCGTGGAGGTGAGTGTCGTGGTGAGCGTCTCGGTGGGCATGGAGGTGAGTGTCGTGGTGAGCGTCTCGGTGGGCATGGAGGTGAGTGTCGTGGTGAGCGTCTCGGTGGGAGTCGTGGTGAGTGTCGTGGTGAGTGTCGTGGTGAGTGTCGTGGTGAGCGTCTCGGTGGGCGTGGAGGTGAGTGTCGTGGTGAGTGTCGTGGTGAGCGTCTCGGTGGGCGTGGCGGTGAGTGTCGTGGTGAGCGTCTCGGTGGGCGTGGAGGTGAGTGTCGTGGTGAGCGTCTCGGTGGGCGTGGAGGTGAGTGTCGTGGTGAGCGTCTCGGTGGGAGTCGTGGTGGGAGTCGTGGTGAGTGTCGTGGTGAGTGTCGTGGTGAGTGTCGTGGTGAGCGTCTCGGTGGGCGTGGAGGTGAGTGTCGTGGTGAGCGTCTCGGTGGGAGTCGTGGTGAGTGTCGTGGTGAGTGTCGTGGTGAGCGTCTCGGTGGGCGTCGTGGTGAGTGTCGTGGTGAGTGTCGTGGTGAGCGTCTCGGTGGGCGTGGCGGTGAGCGTCGTGGTGAGTGTCGTGGTGAGCATCTCGGTGAGCGTCGTGGTGAGTGGAGTGGTGAGCGTCGTAGTGAGTGTCGTGGTGAGCGTCTCGGTGGGCATGGCGGTGAGCGTCATGGTGAGTGGAGTGGCGAGAATCTCGGTGAATGTGGTGGCGTGTGTCGTAGTTGGAGTGGCGGTGAGCGTCGTGGTGAGTGTCGTGGCGAGGGTCTCGGCGAGCGTGGTGGCGAGCGTGCCGTGCCTGTATGCCGCACAGGCGTACCTGGGCCAGGGTGAGACGTCCCGTGTCTACGGGAAAGTCAAGGTCGGCTCCGGCCAGCGCGACCCCATCAACAAAGACTCGGTGCTGGACCCCAAGGGGCAGTACCTCTACGTGTTGAACACGCGCGAGGTGGGGACTCGGCAGTACACCACACGGTACACCACCACGCGGTACACTGTGATACACCACACGGTACACTGTGATACACCACGCGGTACACCACCACGCGGTAGACTGTGATACACCACACGGTACACTGTGATACACCACGCGGTACACTGTGATACACCACGCGGTACACTGTGATACACCACGTGGTACACTGTGATACACCATATGGTACACGAGGGTGCACCACCACGCGGTACACCAGGTACAACAGCTGTCAACTCTTACAGTTGCCTGGCTACTGGTTTAGAAGTTAATGATTGCCTGGTTGCCTGTTTACTCTCTTGCCTGTTTACTCTGTCACCTGTTTACCCAATGGACTGATGTCTCAGGTGTGCGAGTGTGCCCTGTGTTGCCTGGTATCAGAGTGGTCTAGTTGCCCCATGGCAAATTAAAAATGTCTCCCAGCTGACGTCATTGCAAGGTTTTCTAGTCACTGCTTTCCCATTCACCAGTCACCCAGTCACCTGTTTTCCCATTCGCCCAGTCACTCAGTCACCTGCCTTAAAATTCACCCACTTAGTGCCCTGCCAACAATAGTTTAAAGGTACTTAATACATTTAAATCATTATTAGTCACCGATTTGCTCCGTATCATGGTCACCAAGCCACTTGGTCACCAAGTGACTCCATCATCTGGTCACCAGGTCACTCCATCATCTGGTCACCAAGTCACTCCATAATCTGGTCACGAAAGTCACTCCATCATCTGGTCACCAAGTCAGTCCATCATCTGGTCACCAGGTCAGTCCATCATCTGGTCACCAAGTCACTCCATCATCTGGTCACCAAGTCACTCCATCATCTGGTCACCAAGTCACTCCATCATCTGGTCACGAAAGTCACTCCATCATCTGGTCACCAAGTCACTCCATCATCTGGTCACCAAGTCACTCCATCATCTAGTCACTAGGTCACTCCATCATCTGGTCACCAAGTCACTCCATCATCTGGTCACCAAGTCACTCCATCATCTGGTCACCAAGTCACTCCATCATCTGGTCACCAGGTCACTCCATCATCTGGTCATCAAGCAAGTCACTCCATCATCTGGTCACCAGGTCACTCCATCATCTGGTCATCAAGCAAGTCACTCCTTCATCTGGTCACCAAGTCACTCTATCATCTGGTCACCAGGTCAGTCAGTCGTCTGGCTGTCCAGTTGCTTGGCTACCTACATATCACTTATCACGGTTCCCCAGTTGCCAATTCACCCAGTCATCAGGTTGGCCTCGTGGGGGGGTTTGCCCTGCGCATGCAGGTGCACCGAGTGCCCGTGCAGCGCTGCGGAGCCAACCGGAGCTGCCCAGACTGCCTGGCGCTGGACGACCCCTACTGCGGCTGGTGTGTGCTGCAGGGCAGGTGGGTAGCGCCCTGCGCGCGGGCGCCACACGGGGTCGAACCGTTGCTCTCGTCACGCCTTGGGGGGTGGTGGGGTGGTTGTGGGGTGGTTGGTGGCGTGGATGGTGGGGTGGTGGGGTGGTGGGGTGGTTGGTGGGTGGGTGGTGGGGTGGTTGGTGGTGGGGTGGTGGAGTGGTGGGGTGGTTGGTGGCACGGGTGGTGGGGTGGGTAGTTGATGGGGTGGTGGGGTGGTGGGGTGGTTGGTGGGACGCTATTTTGGTCGGACCGTCGCACGTACAGCCGGGGCAATGTTTATTTTTTTTCACGCTTGTGTAACTTTTCATTTTGTAATTGTTTGTTACGATCAATCTTAAAAATGATCTGCTCGCACTGCGGGTCATTTATTGTTTTGCCGTTGATCTCTGCCCGTGTAATATTTCTTTTTTATTTCCCATGTGGCGACCCACGTAGTTGCTTTTTGCCCACGATATTTTGTTTTTTTGCTTTCGTCATTCTGGTGAGCCAGGTGTGTGACCCTTGCAAAAAACGATAGCTTGAGTTCTCACCCGGTTACACAGAAGCACCTTGAACCGTGTTTTCCGATGAGATCGTTTTGTTGATTTCAGAAGCAAGGGGCCCGCCGCGGCGTGGCGGGCGTCGTGCGACGGCGCCGCTGTCGTCGCCGGAGTCTTTATTGTCATCGTTGTTGTTGTTGTTGTCGTTGTTGTGTCCTCCGATGCCGGGAAGGTGCTCGCGCAAGATGGAGTGCGAGCGGGGAACCGAGCCCGGCTGCTGGGTGCAGACCTACGAGAACACGAGTTGCCCCACCATCGCCTCCGCCAGTCCCCACAGCCTCAGCGTCAAGCTGCCACCCACGGTGCGTACGTCGCTCACATGTGTCACTCACATGTGTCGCTGCGTGCGTCACTTGCGTGCGTCGCTGCGTGTGTCGCTGCATGTGTCGCTGCGTGCGTCACTTGCGTGCGTCGCTCACATGTGTCGCTCACATGTGTCGCTGCGTGCGTCACTTGCGTGCGTCGCTCACATGTGTCGCTCACATGTGTCGCTGCGTGCGTCACTTGCGTGCGTCGCTGCGTGTGTCGCTGCGTGCGTCACTTGCGTGCGTCGCTCACATGTGTCGCTCACATGTGTCGCTGCGTGCGTCGCTCGCATGTGTCGCTGCGTGCGTCACTTGCATGTGTTGCTGCGTGCGTCACTTGCATATGTCGCTGCGTGCGTCACTTGCATGTGTCGCTGCGTGCGTCGCTGCGTGCGTCGCTGCGTGTGTCGCTGCGTGCGTCACTTGCATGTGTCGCTGCGTGCGTCGCTGCGTGCGTCGCTGCGTGCGTCGCTGCGTGCGTCGCTCGCATGTGTCGTTGCGTGTGTCGCTGCGTGCGTCGCTGCGTGCGTCGCTGCATGCGTCGCTGCATGCGTCGCTGCGTGCGTCGCTGCGTGCGTCGCTGCGTGCGTCGCTGCGTGCGTCGCTTTGTGCGTCGCTGCGTGCGTCGCTGCGTGCGTCGCTGCGTGCGTCGCTGCGTGTGTCGCTGCGTGCGTCGCTGCATGTGTCGCTGCGTGTGTCGCTGCGTGCGTCGCTTGCGTGCGTCGCTGCGTGCGTCGCTGCGTGCGTCGCTGCGTGCGTCGCTGCGTGCGTCGCTGCGTGCGTCGCTGCGTGCGTCGCTGCGTGCGTCGCTGCGTGCGTCGCTGCGTGCGTCGCTTTGTGCGTCGCTCGCATGTGTCGCTGCGTGCGCGTGCACCACGCAAGTTGTTTGCATGTTGCACTTCGGACCCGGTGAGCCGAGTTTTCAGTCGGTGGTGGATATCAATCGGTCCACTCAAGTATCTTGTGCAGTGATGCAAACGTTCACACTGGGGTGACAAAGGTGGCCGGGCGTGGTGCTGGCTGCCCACCCCCTTGTGAGCCGTGATGGCCTCAGTAGGTGCTCGCGAACAGCACTTGGGTGAGCGGGTTGGAGAGTGAGTGGGTGAGTGGGTTGGAGAGTGAGTGGGTGAGTGGGTTGGAGAGTGAGTGGGTGAGTGGGTGGGTGAGTGGGTGGTGGGTAATGGAGTGAGTTAATGATTGGGTATGTGAGTGGGTGAGTGGGTGAATGAGTGGTGAGTAATCGAGTGATTGGTGAGTGAGGTGGGTGAGCGAGTTGGTTCATTTCTCCCCTCCTGGCCGCTCTCCGTTGGCTCTCCCCTGCGATTACCCCTGGTGTACTTTATGGGCGTGCGATTAATGCGAGCTGCCTCCGCCGCTGCCTCCCCCGCTGCCTCTCTCCACACCACCCCCCCTCCCCGCGTGTGCCACCGATTGCAGTCGGTGACGCTGCACGTGCCGGCGCTGCCGGCGCTGCACGAGGGGGAGCTGCTCACGTGCCACTTCGACGCGTTCGAGTCGCCCGCGACGGTGGCGGGCGCCGACGTGACGTGCGCCCAGTCCCTGCCGCTCGACGCCATCCCGGCCATCCCGCCCAACAGCGGTGGGCATGACAGCGGCAGCGGCGACGATGACGACGACGACGACGACGGCGACGACGGCGAGCGTTGCGATACGATTCCTCCCCTGGTTTAAGATGAGACGGGAGGAGGGTTAGGTCCTGAAATGCAAAGTTTTTTTTTTCTTTCCCCTCCCCCAAGAGGACTCTGGGCGTGACGTCCGCTGCGCCTTCTCCGGCCAGGGCGGGTTTTTATCGACGTCGCGTTTCCGACACCGCGGATCGCGAAGCTCTCTCGGCTGTGGGGGTCGAACGGGGTGGGGAGGCGGGGAGGTGGGGGGGGGGCGCCTTGGTTGGCCGGAGCGCAGAATTGGCCGTGGCCGTGCGGGAGCGGGAGAGCAGCGGTGTGTGGCGGCAGCGATTGCCGCGTGGCGCTGCGAACCCGGCGACCCGAGTTGGAATCCCGCTCGCGACCGATAAACGGTGGCCACCCACCCACCCCCTCGTGTGCCGCACCGGCCTTCGTAGGTGCTGCTCGCTAACGGGACTTGCGCCGACTGTCTGTTAAAGCTACACGGGGTCTCTGTGTGCGTGTGTGTGCGCGTGCGCACGTGCGTGTCCCTGCATGTTCATCCGTGCGCCTTTCCGCCCCTAACACAGACCACGTGGACGTGCGCGTGGAGGTTCGTTACGGGGAGGTGAGCGTGGCGCACGCTCTGCTCCCGTTCTACGACTGCGAGCGGGTGGTGCAGGACGACGAGACGAGTCCGTGAGTCGCCGCCGGCGCCGCGCTCCACCGGGGGCGCTCTGGGGAATACAATGACAGAAGGAAACTCGTAACGCTGCGTACGCGGCGGTGCATGTGCTCACGTACGTACGTGTGTGTCTTTGTCTGCATCTGTGTGCGTGTGTGTTTGTGTATGCGTGTGTGTTTGTGTGTGCGGGTGCGCATGTGCGTGCGTGTGCGTGCGTGTGCGTGCGTGTGTGTGCGTGTGTGTGCGTGCGTGCGTGTGCGTGTGTGCGTGCGTGCGTGTGCGTGTGTGCGTGCGTGCGTGTGTGCGTGCGTGTGTGCGTGTGCGTGTGCGCGCTCGCCAACAGGTGCGCTCACTGCGTCACGAGGCACTGGACGTGCAGCTGGTGCCCTCTGGAGTTCAAGTGCACGCACGAGCCCCAGTGTACTTCCGCCCACACGGTGAGAACCGGCAAAGCCAGGTTACCTCGCACCGCGTTCACCCGGCCCCGCGTTCACCTTGCGTCGCGTTCACCTTGCGTCGCGTTCACCTTGCGTCGCGTTCACCTTGCGTCGCGTTCACCTTGCGTCGCGTTCACCTTGCGTTGCGTTCACCTTGCGTCGCGTTCGCCCGGCCCCTCGTTCACCTTGCGTCGCGTTGACCTTGCGTCGCGTTCACCCGACCCCTCGTTCACCTTGCGTCGCGTTCACCTTGCGTCGCGTTCACCTTGCGTCGCGTTCACCTTGCGTCGCGTTCACCTTGCGTCGCGTTCACCTTGCGTTGCGTTCACCCCGGCGTCGTGTTCACCTTGCGTCGCGTTCACCCGGCGTCGCGTTCACCTTGCGTCGCGTTCACCTTGCGTCGCGTTCACCCGGCGTCGCGTTCACCTTGCGTCGCGTTCACCTTGCGTCGCGTTCACCCCGGCCCCTCGTTCACCTTGCGTCGCGTTGACCTTGCGTCGCGTTCACCCGGCCCCTCGTTCACCTTGCGTTGCGTTCACCTTGCGTCGCGTTGACCTTGCGTCGCGTTCACCCGGCCCCTCGTTCACCTTGCGTTGCGTTCACCTTGCGTCGCGTTCACCTTGCGTCGCGTTCACCTTGCGTCGCGTTCACCCGGCCCCTCGTTCACCTTGCGTTGCGTTCACCTTGCGTCGCGTTCACCCGGCCCCTCGTTCACCTTGCGTCGCGTTCACCTTGCGTCGCGTTCACCCGGCCCCTCGTTCACCTTGCGTCGCGTTCACCTTGCGTCGCGTTCACCTTGCGTCGCGTTCACCTTGCGTCGCGTTCACCTTGCGTCGCGTTCACCTTGCGTCGCGTTCACCCGGCGTCGCGTTCACCTTGCGTCGCGTTCACCTTGCGTCGCGTTCACCTTGCGTCGCGTTCACCTTGCGTTGCGTTCACCTTGCGTTGCGTTCACCCGGCGTCGCGTTCACCTTGCGTCGCGTTCACCTTGCGTCGCGTTCACCTTGCGTCGCGTTCACCTTGCGTCGCGTTCACCTTGCGTCGCGTTCACCCGGCCCCTCGTTCACCTTGCGTCGCGTTCACCTTGCGTCGCGTTCACCTTGCGTCGCGTTCACCTTGCGTCGCGTTCACCCGGCCCCTCGTTCACCTTGCGTTGCGTTCACCTTGCGTTGCGTTCACCTTGCGTCGCGTTCACCTTGCGTCGCGTTCACCCGGCCCCTCGTTCACCTTGCGTCGCGTTCACCTTGCGTCGCGTTCACCTTGCGTTGCGTTCACCTTGCCCCGCGTTCACCTTGCGTCGCGTTCACCTTGCGTCGCGTTCACCTTGCGTCGCGTTCACCTTGCCCTGCGTTCCCCCGTGTGGTGCTGTGTGCAGGTGTCGAGCAGCGACGATTGCCCCGCGATCGACAAGGTGCTGCACTCCCTGGTGCCCACGGGGGTTCCTCGCCACGTGCGCATGACCGCTCGCAACCTCCACCTGCTGGACCACGTGAAGGAGGTGCGGGGGGGGGGGCCCTCGCTCTCTCCTCTCCTCGTTTGCGTCGCGTCCGTCGGCTACGTGTAGCGAGTGCGGTGTTGCCTATAGCGATTGTGGTGTCAAGCGAGCGTGGTGTTTAGCAAGTGCGGTTTTTTGCTGTGGTCCGTCGATGTCTGCGCATCAAACTTATTTCCCACCGTACGTAGCCGACGGTGCTAATCGGAGGTTGCGGGGGAAGGACAACAAACTAAACACGTAGAGCAGTTCTTAAGAAGTTTGTTTTCAATCTGGATGATGATGATGATGTTGATTTAAAAGCGCATAGCTCCAACAGCTTCCTTGTATCGGAAGTGAAGAGCATTTCAAATGGCCGTAGAACTGCATCTGAAAGCACCACGCGATGCGCTGACCGTCTTTGTTCGATGGGCAGCCAAAAGCCGTTGCTGCTGTTGCCGCTGCTGCCGCTGCTGCTGCCACTGCTGCTGCTACTGCTGCTGCGAGGATACCCGGAGTGGTGCCTCTAGCTAGTGAGGTGACTGGCTAGTGCGGTGTTATCGTGTTGTGTGTGCAATGTCCGGCGTCTGCACTCGTCCGGTAACCACGTGCGTGCGTGTGTGTGTGTGTAGGTGACCTGCACCGTGCTGGTGGAGGGTCGCACCGTCGCCAGCCTCGGCAGCGTCGACGACACCGGCGCGGTGACGTGCGATGCCCAGATCGTGAGTGGCGCCGTCACCGCCGCACCCGCACGGGCGGCGCGCCAATGTAGCGCCGTTTCCGGCGGCAGCGCCGGCGCGCCGCTGGTGTCGGGAGAGCGCGCTCCGGTTCGCTCTCCGGCACGCTGGCGGTGCCGCTGATCTGCTGCTGCAGCTGCTGCTGCTGCAGTTGCAGCAGCAGCAGCTGCAAGCGTAAACTGGCCACGTTTGTTCACGTGACAACTTTATTAACGACTGGGGAAGGAGGCATCGTCGTGGTTGTTGTTGTCGTCGTCGTCGTTGTTGTTGTTGTCGTCGTCGTCGTTGTTGTTGTCGTCGTTGTTGTTGTTGTCGTTGTTGTTGTTGTCGTTGTTGTTGTCGTTGTTGTTGTCGTCGTCATTGTTGTTGTTGTCGTTGTTGTTGTCGTTGTTGTTGTTGTCGTTGTTGTTGTCGTTGTTGTTGTCGTCGTCATTGTTGTTGTTGTCATCGTGGTTGTTGTTGTCGTCGTTGTTGTCATCATTGTTGTTGTTGTCATCGTTGTTGTCGTCATTGTTGTTGTTGTCGTCGTCGTTGTTGTTGTTGTCATCGTCGTTGTTGTTGTAGTCGTCGTCGTCGTTGTTGTCGTCGTTGTTGTTGTTGTTGTTGTTGTAGTCATCGTTGTTGTTGTCGTCGTTGTTGTCTTCATTGTTGTTGTCATCGTTGTTTGTTGTTATTTTTGTTGCCATTGTTGTTATCTTTGTTATTTTTTGTTGTCATTGTTTTTATTGTTATTGCCATCTGCGCTTCTGACGCCGGTGCCTGCCGCGTTTCTTTGTCCCCCCCCCCCCCCCCGCTCAGTACGAGTACCACACGGAGAGCATGGAGTACCAGGCGGAGGTGTGGCTGGAGCTGAGCAAAGGTCATCGCCTTGACAACCAGCAGCGGCACAACGGTACGGGGAGCGGGGTGGTGAGGGGTGGCGGGGGGGGGGGCGGGGGGGCGGCAGCGGCCCACAATGCCGTGCGGTCGAAGTCGCCGTTTAAGTTCCGTCCGAGCGAGGCGTCGGTTGTTCATCTCCAGAGCGCAAAGCGGCGCAGTGGTCAGAGCGCCACGCCGCCCTACGAACCCGGCGACACGAGTTCGACTCCCGCTCGCGACCAGATAAAAGTTGCGAATATTTTAAGCGGCCTCCTTTTGGTCGACTCGTACTTAATAACGAATCACTTGGTGCGGTGTGCATGTATCATCAGTGTAATCTTCTCATTGTTGTTATTATTCTTGTCGTACGGCTGATAGGCAGATGCAGAGCAACGGCTACAATGTCACATTCGGGATTCGCGTGGTGAGGCCAGAGAGCCGCGTCAGTGCGGGAGACCAAGGCGGTCCGGCGTGTTGGTGTTGGCCACCCAACTCCACCCCCCCCACCTCCTCTTCGGGCACCTTGTGCCAGCCTGATGGCGCTCGCCCCGGCAGCCTGTTCAAGTTTTTAACGCCGGGGGGATCTTCGTATTGTGTGCAGTGACGCTGTACGACTGCTCCAAGGTGCAGACGGACTGCAGCGAGTGCGCGGTCTCGGATGCGCGCTACGGCTGCGTGTGGTGCGCCCACTCGTGCCGCTACAACGAGAGCTGCGCCGCAGTCTCCCCCGAGTGTCCGGGGCCCATGGTGAAATCGGTGAGCGCCGCCACCGTCGCTCCGCACACCGCACGCGGTGCCTCCGCGCTGCCCAGCGCTCACCCAAGCCCCGCTAGGGCTGCTACTACCCATGGGTGGGAAAAACCCGATTTCTCCAGCGGCAGGCATCGGGTTTTTTCTTTGATACAATTAAACCCGATTTCGGTGAATTAAAACCTGGTTTAGGCTGCTTCCTCGTCGGTGCTACTATCGTACTCGGGGGGCCGTTGGGCACGGGGTAGTCGTAGAATGTGGCGGGCAGGTTGGTCTTGATGGACACGAGCTTCTCCACAATCGTGGGCGCCGCCAGTAAGTTCCTTAGCTTGGAATGGATGAAGCCCATCGTTGCGAAGTTGGCGAAGTGCGGCTCTGCAATTAGAACCAATTAATCCGGATTTCTCCCAATCTCAGATGATCGGGTTTAATATAAAAAGACAATAAAACCCGATTGTAAAAAACCCGACTGTGCCACCCTTGGTACTACGCCCAGTAACCGGGCTGCACATAATGACAACACGTTATCCGCCGTGGCCTCACAAGGCCGGCACCACACAGTGACATTCAGTCACTACATGTGTATGTTGAACTTCTTTCACACCATACGTAGCCAACATGCTAATCGGAGGTGTGGGAAATTATCATTGTTGTCATCACCATCGTCATGGTCGGCATCTTCGTCATCACCACCACCGTCGCCATTATCATCATCATCGTCGTCATCACCATCATCACCACCATCGCCATCATCATCATCATCGTCGTCATCACCATCATCATCATCGCGGGAGCCATAGCCATCATTGTCGTTAGCACCATCACCATGGTCGCCATCATCGTCATCGATGACGAAGTTGGCGACCATGATGATGGTGCTTAGTTGATTAATCGTCCTCGCTGTTATCATCGTCATGATCATCACCTACCGGACCCCATCAACCAATCGGCTCTTTGACTGGGCGAACGCTATTGGCCAATCGGTGGAGATCGCCTTCCCTGCACGCGATCCCATTGGCCAATCGGTGATGACCTCCGTTCTTGCACAGCCCTCATCGGCCAATAGGCGATTTCCTCCTCTTTTTTTTTTTTAAGGTCTTGGCATCAGCCAATCGGCAGTGGCCTCTTCTGAGCCTTGCAGTTCTTGCGAGCCAATGAGTGACGCGCGTCTCTCTCTCTCCCGTGGGATTGTGGGTAACAGATCGAGCCACACACGGGCGTGCTGGAGGGCGGCACCATCCTCACCGTGCACGGCTCCGACCTCGGACGCTCTTTTGAAGAGGTAACCGCAGCGCGGGCGACGAGGTGGGAGTGATGAGGTGGATGTATTGAAGAGCGTGTGATGATGTCAGAATCAGAGTATTTATACTGGAGAAATCCGATGAACTATAAAGCTCTTTTTCACAGATATCTAGCAGGGGCAGGTAAGACTGTTACAACAACAAACGGTACATAAACACGATAGGGGTTCAAAGTACAAGAAAGGTAAACAAATCACCCAAACACATACAAATTAAACTAAACCATTCCCATCCTACCAGGCAAAGCCCACTGAGGTATTAAATTATTCTTCAGAAGCGACCCTGGGCCGCAAATGATAGCTCAACAAAGTGGGTCACTTGGACATTTATCGCAGCAAAATCATCTAAAATATTTATCTCAATACATGTTTGTAAACATGGAGAAAAAAATCCACGTGACCACGGGGAGAGAGACACGCAAACTCCAGATATTACAGCAGCAGGCGTCAGGGTCGGGATCAAATCCACAACATCCTGTATACCATATTCTTGAATCTTTCGGTAAAGTCACATAGAAGGGAAATAATAAAAGAATAAAAATAAAACATCATAAAATTCTCACGTTTCGGCCACAACACAAGCAGCCATCCTCAGGTGAAGAAAAGAGCTGTTCCTCACCTGAGGACTTTACTGAAAAGATCCAAGAATATGAATCCCTGCAGTCATGAAAGCTTTAAATCGAAATTAAATCCTGTATACCAGGCGAGGGAGTTAACATCTCCTAGCCACCGTGCAAAGTGGTGACAAACAGGTGTCTGGGTCGGGATCGAACCCACGACCTCCTGCACACCAGGCGATGAGGCGGGAATGATGAGGTGGATGTGATGAGGTGGGAGTGACGGGGTGGCGGTAAGGCATTGGACGAGGTGTGCGGCGTTGCTGTGCTGTGCAGGTGGTGTCAGTGCTGGTTGGGAGCAAGCCGTGCGTGCCGCTGCAAGACCTCTACAGAGTCTCCAAGAGGTTCCGCTCGCTCGCTCACTCACGTCACTCGCTCACTGTCACTCACTCCTCACTCACTCAAATTGCTCGCTCACTCACTCGCTCGATCACTCGCTGACTCACTCCCTCGCTTGCTCAGTCGCTCGCTCGCTCACTGTCATTCACTCCCTCAAATTGCTCGCTCGCTCGCTCGCTCACTCACTCGCTGACTCACTCGCTCGTTCTCATTCAGTCTGTCACTTGCTCAGTCAACCACTCACTCAATGACTCTTTGACTCGTTCAGTGCCTCACTCGGTCACTCACTTGCACGCTCACTCGCTCAGTCGCTCCCTTAGTCACTCACTCAGTAACTCACTTGCTCGATCACTCACTGGGTCACTCACTTAGTCACTCACTTGCACGCTCACATCGCTCAGTCACTCGCTTAGTCACTCACTCAGTCACTTACTTGCTCGATCACTCACTGGGTCACTCGCTTAGTCACTCACTTGCATGCTCACTCGCTCAGTCACTCACTTAGTCACTCACTCAGTCACTCACTTGCTCGATCACTCACTGGGTCACTCGCTTAGTCACTCACTTGCACGCTCACTCGCTCAGTCACTCACTTAGTCACTCACTCAGTCACTCACTTGCTCGATCACTCACTGGGTCACTCGCTTAGTCACTCACTTGCACGCTCACTCATTTGAGGCATTCGCTCGCTAATTCGAATGCTCACATGCTGACACCCATACATGCCCTTCACACACACAAAGATCTCCCATATAGCCTTAACATACTTTTTGTGGCAAGCGCTGTTAGGGAGTACCTATGAAGGCCGGCACTGCACACGAGGGGGTGGGTGGCCAACTCCACACATACACCTACGCTCGCTCACTCCCACAATCTCTCACTCACACACCTACTAACTTGAGATACTGCTGCTGATGATGCTGCTGTTGTTGCTTCTGTTGATGTTGCTCCTGCTGATGCTATTGATGATGCTGTTGTTGCTGATGATACTGCTGCTGCTGTTGCTTCTGTTGAAATCGCTCCTGCTGATGCTGCTGATGATGCTGTTCCTGCTTATGACGTTGCTGCTGCTGATGTTGCTTCTGTTGACGTTGCTCCTGCTGATGCTATTGATGATGCTGTTGTTGCTGATGATACTGCTGCTGCTGTTGCTTCTGTTGAAATCGCTCCTGCTGATGCTGTTGATGATGCTGTTCCTGCTTATGATGCTGCTGCTGCTGCTGATGTTGCTTCTGTTGACGTTGCTCCTGCTGCCGCTATTGATGATGCTGTTGCTTCTGCTGCCGCCGCTGCTGCCCACAGAATCGTGTGCACGACGGGCAGCGCGGACAGCGCCGGCGATGTGGCGGTGGTGGTGGAGATCGCCGATCGAGCGCCGGCCTCGTTCGAGCACTTTACGTACCAGGCAAGGTCACGGCGGGGTCAGAGTTACGGTTAAGTTCAGGGTAGAGACTCCCTCTCCCGCGTGCAGTTGTGACTACGAACTCCACACCGTGGGTCATGTGGCCTCGCACTGCTGGGGCAGCGCGAGGCTACACGGGTCATTTGGCGGTTGGGTGGGTGACTGGGCGGTTGGGTGGGTGGGTGACTAGGCCGGTAGGTGGGTGAGGTGGCGGGTGGATTTGTGTGTAGGTGGGTAGGTGAGTGGGTGGCTTGGTTTGTAAATGGGTGGGTGAGTGGGTGGGTTGGTCGGTGAGTGAGTGGGTGGGTGGGTGAGTGGGTGGGTGAGTGGGTGGGTGGGTGGGTGAGTGGGTCGGTGGGTGGGTGAGTGAGTGAGTGAGTGGGTGGGTGGGTGAGTGGGTGAATGGGTGCGTGGGTGAGTGAGTGAGTGAGTGGGTGAGTGGGTGAGTGAGTGAGTGAGTGGGTGGGTGGGTGGGTGGGTTGGTCAGTGGGAGGACGGGTGGGTGGGTGTATCTATAATTCGCCAACTCTCAGACTTTCGAGCTGAGCCTCTCAGTTTCTCTGCACAGCCCGCGCGACGGCGAGCTTCATTAGCGTTGTGACATCACGAGTTGTCTCCCCCGGCAGAGTCCCTTCATCACGAAGCTGGAACCGAGTGAGGGGCCGGTCGAGGGAGGAACCCGCATCACCATCTTCGGGAAGCACCTGCTGACGGGAAACCGGGAACTCATCGCCGCCTTCATCGGGGACAGCCCGTGCAGGTGAGCACCTGGGTTGGTGACGGTGGTGACGATGGTGACGGCGGTGATCGTGATGATGGTGGGGATTATAATGACGATGACGGTGGTGGTGAGGATGTTGGTGACGATGTTGACGTAGCTGCGATGGTGGTGGTGGTTGCATCACCACAGCTGGCCGATATGCAAATGCCACATACACACACACCTGTGATCACGATGCCACCTCTGACGACGATGTCGTGCGGTGTCGGTGCCCGCGCAGCGATCTGCGCATGGTGGGGGTGGAGGAGGAGGCGACCCTCGAGTGCTCCACGCCCAAGGTGCAGGAGAAGGTCTCCGTCGCCGTCAGCCTGCGCTACGGCGGCACCAGCGTCTCCAACGCCAGCGCCGAGGTCTTCGAGTACAAAGAAAACCCAATCATCAACGACTTCAACCCCAAAAGCAGCTTCTATGGGTACCCGCCCCTCCCGCCCCCTCCACCCCCTCCACACCCCCCGCACACATGATGACGATGCTGCTGCTGACGATGATGATGAGTGTGTGATCGGCGCGGGGTTGCGGTTGCTGTGTTTGCAGGGGCGGCCGCGTGATCACGGTGAGCGGCTCGAAGCTGAACACGGCGCTGAAGATGTCCATGGAGGTGGAGGTGCAGCTCCCACGCCGGCGGCGCTCCCTGCACCCCTCCACAGTGAGACACAGAGACTCCCTCCCCCTCCCTCCCTCCCTCCCTCCCTCCCTCCCTTCCCTCCACTCCCTCCCACTCCACTCCCTCCCTTCCACTCCGCTCCCCTCCCACTCCAGCCCCCCTCCACTCCATTCCCCTCCCTCCCCTCCCTCCCCTCCCTCCCTCCCTCCCCTCCCTCCCTCCCTCCCTCCCTCCCTCCCTCCCTCCCTCCCTTTCCTCCACTCCCTTCCACTCCACACCCCTCCCACTCCGCTCCCCTTCCCTCCACTCCCCTCCCTCCCTCTCCCTCCACTCTCTCCCTCCCTGCACTCCTACACTCCTGCAGGTGATGGGTGGTGATGGGTGGTGATGGTGGTGATGGCGGGAGTGGTTGTAGTTCTGGTGATAAGTGTTCATGACTGGTGGTGATGGTCATGGTAGTAGTGGTGCTTATGACGCCGATACCGATCGGCATGACGCTTGTGGTGATGCTGCTGCCGCCATTGATGACAACGACGGTGCCGCTGATGATGCCGTCTCGTCCGCCCCCTCCCCCGCCCCGTGGTCAGATCTCGAGTCCCTGCGAGTTCCGCTCGGCGGATGAGGCCCTGTGCCCCTCCCCCACCGTGCCGGACGGCTCGACGGTGCTCCGCTCCTGGTTCCAGCTGGACGGGTTCCGCAGCGACGTCACGTCGCTCCTGACGTACGAGGAGAACCCCCTGCTGTGCCGGCCCGGCACCGCGCCCTACGTCATCAACGGCCACAACATCCTGACCATCAAGGTAGCGCGCCGCGTGCCGCGTGCCGCGTGCCGCGTGCCGCGTGCCGCGTGCCGGCAGCATCGCCCGCCCTGCGCTCGGTCGCCACACCGCAGGTCACGGCAACTCACCCGCAGTCGCTTGCTCACTCGCTCGCTCGCCCATCAACCCACGCACTCACCCAGTCACTCGCTCACACCTACCCACTCACCCAGTCACTCACTCACACCTACCCACCCACTCACCCAGTCACTCACTCACACCTACCCACTCACTCACCCAGTCACTCGCTCACACCTACCCACTCACTCACCCGTCCACACCCACTCACCCATTCACTCACTCACACCTACCCACCCACTCACCCGTCCACACCCACTCACCCAGTCACTCACTCACACCCACTCACAGCCACCAACTCACTCACCCAGTCACTCACTCACACCCACTCACAGCCACCAACTCACTCACCCGTTCACACCCACTCACCCAGTCACTCACTCACACCCACTCACAGCCACCAACTCACTCACCGGTGTTGGCCGTGGGTGGGACTCAAACTCGGATCGCCGGGTTCGTCGCGCAGCGTAGCGCTAAACGCTACACCACCGCTCCCCCACTACCGCTCACTCGCCCACTCACCCACACTGAGTCCGTGGGACTCTATTTCAGGAGGGGTCCTGCATTGGGTGTTCATTTTAATGCGATTCAGCAGCAGGATAAAAACCCACGCGCAATAATAACCTCGCTCGGTTCAAGAAGCGAAAACTTGCGCTCTAACCGAGCGTCTCGTATGCCCATGCCGGCCTTCATAGGTGCTACTCCTTAACAGCACTTACCCCAAAAATCTGTTAAGGCTATACGGCGGGATCTTTGTCTTTGTGTGTGAAGGGCATGTATGGGTATCAGGGTGTGAGCATTCGAATGAGCAAACAAACGTGTGAGTGAGTGAACGAGCGAGTGAGCGTGTGACTAAGCGAGCGATCCAGTGAGTGACTGTACGAGCAAGAGATTGATCAAGCGAGTGAGTGACTGAGCGAGCGTGCGAGCTAGTGATTGAGTGAGTGACTGAGTGAGTGATTCAGTGACTGAGCGAGCGTGCGAGCTAGTGATTGAGTGAGTGACTGAGTGAGTGATTCAGTGACTGAGCGAGCGTGCAAGCTAGTGATTGAGTGAGTGACTGAGTGAGTGATTCAGGTGACTGAGCGAGCGTGCGAGCTAGTGATTGAGTGAGTGACTGAGTGAGTGATTCAGTGACTGAGCGAGCGTGCAAGCTAGTGATTGAGTGAGTGACTGAGTGAGTGATTCAGTGACTGAGCGAGCGTGCGAGCTAGTGATTGAGTGAGTGACTGAGTGAGTGATTCAGTGACTGAGCGAGCGTGCGAGCTAGTGATTGAGTGAGTGACTGAGTGAGTGATTCAGTGACTGAGCGAGCGTGCGAGCTAGTGATTGAGTGAGTGACTGAGTGAGTGATTCAGTGACTGAGCGAGCGTGCGAGCTAGTGATTGAGTGAGTGACTGAGTGAGTGATTCAGTGACTGAGCGAGCGTGCGAGCTAGTGATTGAGTGAGTGACTGAGTGAGTGATTCAGTGACTGAGCGAGCGTGCAAGCTAGTGATTGAGTGAGTGACTGAGTGAGTGATTCAGTGACTGAGCGAGCGTGCGAGCTAGTGATTGAGTGAGTGACTGAGTGAGTGATTCAGTGACTGAGCGAGCGTGCAAGCTAGTGATTGAGTGAGTGACTGAGTGAGTGATTCAGTGACTGAGCGAGCGTGCGAGCTAGTGATTGAGTGAGTGACTGAGTGAGTGATTCAGTGACTGAGCGAGCGTGCGAGCTAGTGATTGAGTGAGTGACTGAGTGAGTGATTCAGTGACTGAGCGAGCGTGCGAGCTAGTGATTGAGTGAGTGACTGAGTGAGTGATTCAGTGACTGAGCGAGCGTGCGAGCTAGTGATTGAGTGAGTGACTGAGTGAGTGATTCAGTGACTGAGCGAGCGTGCGAGCTAGTGATTGAGTGAGTGACTGAGTGAGTGATTCAGTGACTGAGCGAGCGTGCGAGCTAGTGATTGAGTGAGTGACTGAGTGAGTGATTCAGTGACTGAGCGAGCGTGCGAGCTAGTGATTGAGTGAGTGACTGAGTGAGTGATTCAGTGACTGAGCGAGCGTGCGAGCTAGTGATTGAGTGAGTGACTGAGTGAGTGATTCAGTGACTGAGCGAGCGTGCGAGCTAGTGATTGAGTGAGTGACTGAGTGAGTGATTCAGTGACTGAGCGAGCGTGCGAGCTAGTGATTGAGTGAGTGACTGAGTGAGTGATTCAGTGACTGAGCGAGCGTGCGAGCCAGTGATTGAGTGAGTGACTTGAGTGAGTGATTCAGTGACTGAGCGAGCGTGCGAGCTAGTGATTGAGTGAGTGACTGAGTGAGTGATTCAGTGACTGAGCGAGCGTGCGAGCTAGTGATTGAGTGAGTGACTGAGTGAGTGATTCAGTGACTGAGCGAGCGTGCGAGCTAGTGATTGAGTGAGTGACTGAGTGAGTGATTCAGTGACTGAGCGAGCGTGCGAGCTAGTGATTGAGTGAGTGACTGAGTGAGTGATTCAGTGACTGAGCGAGCGTGCGAGCTAGTGATTGAGTGAGTGACTGAGTGAGTGATTCAGTGAGTGAGTGAGCGACGCGACTGACGGGGGGGGGGGGGTCTTTTTGCCTCCGTTCGTCCTCAGGGCCAGAACCTGAACAAGGCCATGGATAAGGAGGAGGTGGAGGTGACCATCGGCGAGGAGCAGTGCAAGGTGGAGATGATGGACAGCTCCTCCCTCTACTGCAAGCCCCCGCTCACCCAGCCCAGCGCCAGGGCCGGCGGCGACGAGGCTGGCTACGGGCAGGAGGAGGAGGTCAGTAGTCACGTTGCACGTGGACCTCTGTGTGCACGTGGACCTCTGTGTGCACGTGGACCTCTGTGGGCACGTGGACTTGGAAGAAGTTGTCACCCCCTGTGAGTGGCTTGCTGAAGTGCCATCTGCTCCAGAGTCTGAGACCAAGAAAAGCGCCGGGCAGAGATTATCTCCCAAGCGAAATGCTGAGGGAGGGTGGCATTTGTGTGCAGACTCCCCTATATGACATCATAATAACAGTCTGGCCCACTGGATGGGTTCCGCAGGATTCATAGGATGCCCTGGTGGTTCCCCTCTTTAATAAGGGGGACCGCACAGCCTGTAACAACTACAGGGGCATCTCTCTCCTCAGTGTGCCAGGCAAGGATTATTGAACATCGCCTTGCTAGGCATGCTGAGGGGAGAGGCTTGCGGAGCCCCAATGTGGTTTCAAGTCAGGTCGATCCTGCACAGATTCCATATTTTCTGTCCTTCAGCTACAGCAGAGGTGCAGGAAATTCCAACAGGACCTACATCTCTGCTTTATTGACCTTGTCAAGGCCTATGATACCATCAATAGATCTGGGCTTTGGGTTGTTTTTCGTTCTTGGTTGTGCTGGAGGAATCTCAATTTGGTACAGATACAATGGGAGACTGATCGATGCCTGGGTGTGGTCAAGGGATGCCTCCCTATTGGTCAACCATGTTATGTATGCCGGTGATCTGGTGATTTCTGCTCACCCAGAGGAGGAGCTGGAGGCGCTGCTTCTGAACCTGGAACATGCCAAAACTAAGCACCTGTCTGGATATTTTGTGCCATCAAACACTCGAAACCCCCTCAGCTCCCCATTGGTAATGGGACAGTTGTAGAGAGAGTGGAGAGTTTTCCATACCTCGGCAATGTACTCATGACCAGCTCCGGTTTCACAGCTGAGGTCTCATGTCGAATCAGTCGAGTGGCATCTTTTCATCGGCTGTGTAACGCTGTGTGGAAGCTACCTGGTCGGTCGCTCAACACGAAACTTTGGGTCTTCTTGGCCACGGTCATGCCCTCCCTTCTTTATACTTGCAAAACATGGACCCCCCTAATGGAACATCTTCGCCGGTTAGACACATTTAGGCCTGCCCCACGATCCATCCTGGGTTTAACCAGGCTGGATTGTGTGAGAAGCTCACAAATCCTTGAAAGATCTCGACAAAGTCCCATCGGTGAGCTCCTCCTGCAGGCAAGGCTGCATTGGCTGGGTCATGTAGCCCACATGCCCAGCCACCGCATACCTAAACAGATTTTTATTTACGCGATCTAACCCAAAAAAACTTGTATTATAGATGATGTTGGTCGCAAAAGCCTACGTGTTAAACTATAAACAGCTTTTGTTTGGCCGGATAGAGAGGGCTCAACGGGTGCGGCATGGGGTAGAGAAGAGATGGAGTGATGTGGTACAAGAGGATTTGGAGCTGAGTGGACTTGCCAATGACTGGTACCAGCGGTATCACGATCGGCCCCTGTGGAGGAGGCTTGTGAAGGACGCTACTGGCCAGTTGGAGGCAGTCGCTCTCCAGCAACAACGGAGATCAGAGGAGCGACGCTCACAACAACGAGCGGAACACCGGTCGGCTAAAGCACAGCAAGTTGGCACAGTAGGGGGCACAGGTGGTGCATCGGCCACTCATCTCAGTCAGTCAACCCATGGCACCTGGGTCTGCCCTATGAGCTCCTGCCACCAGGCGTTCGACACTTCACGTGGCCTTAACGTGCACTTAGCCTGGCACAAGCGCCGTGGTTACATCACCGCTGCTTTGTGACGAATAGCGGTTGTTGTGTCTCTGTCTCACTCTGTGTGCGTGTCTCTCTGTCCATGTGTAGATTATCGACCGTTCTCTGAACTGCACGTTGGCCACTTCCTCCACCCTCCCGGCGGCGCCAGCGTCGAGACGGTGACGGCGACCTCCCCCAGCTCATAGTGCGTGTGGCCTCCCCCCCCCCCTCTCTCGCACACAGACAAAGATCCCCCCTATAGCCTTCAACCCATTGCTGGGGCAAGTGCTGCAAGCCGGCGCCATCTGATGGTGGCACGGCACGCGAAGGGATGGGTGGCCAGCACCGTGCCCATTTGTTTCCCCAGTGGCGATGTTTTTACATGCAGCACCAGGCACTCATTTAAGGCCAAGTCGACCTAGGGAGAGACCCAGATCCTGCTTAGGTATCCCGTCACCAATGTTGGCCACGAGCGAGAATCTTCGGTATTCGCATCGCGGCGTGCTGACCGCTGCGCCACCGCTCCCTGGGTGTGGTGCTGGCCGCAGTTACTCCGTCATATCCCGTGGCGGCCTTCGCAGGTGGTGTGCAGAGGAGGCGGCGGCGGCAGTCGCCCTCCAGCATCAGCGGAGGGCGGATGAGCGACGCGGGATTGTGTGAGGGGCTCGCAGGTCCTTGAAATATCTTGGCACATTCCCATCGGCGAGCTCCTCCGGTGGGCGAGGCTGCGTTCAGCTGGGTCGTGTAGCCCGCATGCCCAAGCCATTGCATACTCATGTGGGGGAACGGTAGTGTAACGGTTAGCGCTACGCCCCGCTACGAACCCGGCGACCCGAGTTCGATGCCCGCTCACGGCCAACACCGGTGACGATAATTAATTTGACCCGATCCTGGGCCTCCCCTAGGTCGACTCAGCCTCAAATGAGTACCTGGTGTGGTGTGTAAACATCAGCACTGAGAAGACAAAGACAGCCGGATGTGGTGCTGGCCACCCACCCCCTTCTGTGCCATTCCTGCCTTAATAGCTGCTTGTAACAGCACTTGCCCAATAATCTGTTAAGGCAATACGGGGGATCTTTATTTCCTCTTCGTTGTGTGTGTATATAGTTGTGTATACGTATGTGTACACATTTACGAGCGTGCACACATGCGTGTGAGTGTATGCCTTTATACACATGCATATACGTGCGTGTGTGCGTGTGTAAATATGTCTGTGCACGTGTGCGTGTACGCATGTACGGGCGTGTACACGTGTGTGTGAGTGTGTGTTTGCCACTTCACGTGGCCTCAAAGTGCATCTGGCCTGGCACAGGCGCCGTGGTGACGTTACCGAATGACGGGTATATATGTATGTGTGCGTGTGTGTGTACGTGTGTGTGTACGTGTGTGTGTACGTGTGTGTGCGTGTGTGTAGGTGCACATGGGCGTGCTGCGCTTCCCGCTGGGCCGCGTGCGCTACTCGACGGGGGACGGCCTGCTCTCCAAGGGGGCTATCGCCGGCATTGCCGTGGGCCTCCTCCTGCTGCTACTCGCCATCATCGCCCTCATTCTCCTCCTCCGGTCATGCTCACCTCCACTCCCGCCACCGTCCTCTTCTGCCTCCTCTCCCGCCTCGTCTTGTCCCCCTGTCCCCCTCCTCTTCTCCCGCCACCATCCTCCTCTCCCGCCTCCTACTCGCCAGTATCGTAGAGTCGCGTCGTGGGAATTGCATTGCGGTTGACATTGTCGTGGGTTCACTTGAGAGACGCACCGATTCAGGAGGCAACACCGTTTATTCTGCGACCACAACGGGGTAGCTACACAAACGGGTCGGGTCAGGTCAGGCGGCACACTGCCTCACCCACGATGCCGAGCACGAAGACCAAAGAGGAGACGCAGCACGGCAGGTTCCATATGCCCCTCAGCGTGGCCCCGCTCCGCCCTCGGACACGCCCCCATCCAGAGCCTCCTAGAAGGTTCTGGAGCGCCTTCCACGTGTCCCCTCCCTGGCTCCGCCCTGGGCCACGCCTCCTTATGGAACTCAACTAGAACATGCCCCTCTGTCACCTTTGGCCTACATCCCATCACGTGTCCCTGCCGGCCAATCGGACTACTACGTCCTCAGTTGTCCCCTACTCTGCCAGCCCCAGAGACCTCTTCCATGACATCATTCCTCTGCTGGCAGAGAGGGCCACCATACCCACCATTCCGCTCTCTGTCGGTAGATGGTGCTAGGCGCCGTAGTGACCCATTGTATGTCACTACAACATCGTTGATGCAAGTGCTGGTTGACATGATTAACGTTGTTGTCGTCGTTGTGGTGGTCGTGTGGTGGTGGTGACGCTGGCTCGCCGTGCAGACACAACGCCAACCGCGAAAAGGAGAAGATCCTCATGGAGATGACCAGGATGGAGGACAAAGTGCGGGACATGGTGCGGCGCGAGTTCGCAGGTGACTCCCCCTTCCCTCCCCCCTTCCCTCCCCCCTTCCCTCCCCCCCTTCCCTCCCCCCTTCCCTCCCCGTTGCCCCACTACCTCCCCCCGGGCCGCCTCCCCCCTCCCCCCCACCAACTCTTGGCAGCGGTGCATCGGTGGCGGTGTGCTGGGGTTGGACAAGGATAGCCGGTGGACGTGACGGTGCAGATTACCGCGATGCGGATTGTCATGGTGCTGCTTCCCATGCCACTGCTAAACCAAACCGTGAACACGTTTTTTTTTTATGTTACCAGGCAAGGGCCCTACTGAGCTGTGTAGATTTTTTTGTTTAACTGCTCAACAACTTTGCATGGGATTCGCCTCCCAGTTGCATCCATTCGTTCAAGTCGCGAAAACTACTAAATTATCAAACCGTTTTTTCTTTTACCAGGCAAGGCCCCACCCGAGCTACAGTAGCTCTGTTTATCATTACACGCTTTTATTTAACTCGCTGTCTGTTGCCGTATCCTCAAATCTTGTAACTCAATTTTAACCCACTTCCCAATGTCGTTTCGACTGCAAACTTGGTATACTTATGTCATACTGATGACAATACTGTATTCTATCATTAAAACTTTTTTTTTAAACCATCTCTTTTATATCTTATGTTTCGGCTTGGGTCTAATTGTCCACGCTCACTGACATTGGCTGTAAATGACCACGGCCACTTACGTTATGGCAAGCCTCGCGGCCGCTTCCTGGAGTCGTGCCATTAGGAGTACGTTACATTTCATTAAAACGTGGTTTAAAAAAAGTATTTTAAATATTACTTACTCAGAAGTGAGCTGGCTATCACAAATGATGGCTCAACGAAGTGGCTTGCCACGACGTGGCATGCGTATCAGCCAATTACTCCTCACACGTGATGCTGATTCTAAATGTGGAAGGGAGAAAACCGGAGGACACAGACAAATCCACGCGATTACGAGTAGAGAGAGAGAGCCTCTAACATACAGCAGGCGCCAAGGGTCGCGATCGTTGCCACGATGTTGTATCTACGTACGTTGAACTTCTATCGCACCGTATGTAGCCAACCCATGCTAATTGATGCCGGTCGCTGTGATGCTCGGTCGCCGTGACGACGGTCGCCATGACGCCCCCCCCCCCTCCTGACGGCCGTCTCCGCCGTGCGCCGACCTCCTCCAGACCTTGTGACGGACATGTCGGACCTCGACGTGCTGGTGGACGAGACGGGCATCCCCTTCCTCGAGTACCACCGCTACGTGGAGCGCATCTTCTTCCCGGTGCAGCAGCAGCTGCTGTGCGAGGGGGCGGCGCCTCCTCCCGCGTCGCCCTCGTGGGACGCGGCGCTCACGGGCTTCCACAACCTGCTCAACAGCAACTCTTCTCATCAAGGTACGTCGGCGCTGTCAGCTTCGGTGTAGCCCGGCGCGCCTGGTGCGGGCGGGAGTGGAAAGCTGGTCGCGGGTCGCGGGGTCACGGGGTCGCGGGGTCACGGGTCACGCGCCAAACTGGGCCGGAGTTGAGCGGAGTCCGACCGTCTCGCGGGCCAGGGTGTGCGGTCCGATAGCTCAACGGCGAGGTGCTGGGTACCCTCGACGAGGTTACGAGAGGTGTCTGTGTGTACGCGCTGTACGTAGCCAGAGAGAGACACACAGACCCACAGGCTCACAGAGTGAGACACACGCAGAGAGACACACTCACAGAGTGAGACACACAGACAGAGAGACACACACAGAGTGAGACAAACAGACAGAGAGACACACAGAGTGAGACGTACACAGAGAGACACACACACAGAGTGAGACACACACACAGAGTGAGACACACACACAGATAGACACACACACAGAGTGAGACACACGGACAGAGAGACAAACACAGAGTGATACACACACAGAGTGAGACACAGAGAGACACCACAGAGTGAGACACACAGAGAGACACACAGAGTGAGACCCACTGACAGAGAGACACACACACAGAGAGACACACACAGAGAGACACGCACACAGAGTGAGACGCAATCTAAATCGAGCGGAGTGCGTGTGTACGTATCTGTGCGGTGGTGTAGTGGTCAGCGCTACGCTGCGCTACGAACTCGGCGACCCGAGTTCAATTTCCGCTCGCAGCCACCAACACCGGTGACGATTATCTGAACCGGTCATGGGCCTCTCCTAGGTCGACTCAGCCTCAAAATGAATACCGTGGGAAATGAAAACAGCGCCACTAGGGAGACAAAGGCAACCGTGCGTGGTGCTGGCCACCCACCCCCCGTCGTTGCCATGCCGGCCTTCATAGGTGCTTGCTAACAGCACTTGCCCCAACAGCCTGTTAAGGCTATACAGGGGATCTTTGTGTGTATCTCAGTGTGTATCTCTGTATGTCTCTGTGTGTCTGCCTACCTGTCTGTCTGTGAGTGTCTCTGTGTGTCTGTCTGTCTGTGTGTCTGTGTGTGTCTGTCTGTCTGTGAGCATCTCTGTGTGTCTGTCTGTGTGTCTCTGTGTGTGTCTCTGTGTGTCTGTCTGCCTGTCTGTCTGTGTCTGTCTGTGAGTGTCTCTGTGGGTGTGTCTGTCTGTGTGTGTCTCTGTGTGTCTGTCTGTCTGTGTGTCTCTCTGTGTGTCTGTCTGTGAGTGTCTCTGGTGTCTCTGTGTGTCTGTTCTTGCCTGTGTGTCTCTGTGTGCTGTCTGTATGTGGTGTCTCTGTGTGTCTGCCTGTCTGTGTGTTCTCTGCCTGCCTGCCTGTCTGTGTGTGTCTGTGTGTGTCTGTCTGTCTGTGAGTGTCTCTGTGTGTCTGTCTGTCTGTGTGTGTCTGTGTGTGTCTGTGTGTGTGTGTCTGTCTGTGTGTCTGTCTGTGTGTTTGTCTGTGTGCTTCTCTGTGTGTCTGCCTGGTGTGGTCTCTGTGTGTCTGTCTGCCTGTCTGTCTTGTGTCTCTGTGTGTCTATCTGTCTGTGTGCCTGTGTGTCTCACCCCCCCCCCCCCCCGCCCACTCTGCTCCGCTCCTCCGTGCAGTTCATCCAGACGCTGGAGATGCAGCATGGCGGCGTGAGCCAGGCGCACTGTGGGCGCATCGCGTCGCTCGTCACCGTGGTGCTGCACGACAAGCTCGAGTACTACACGGACATCCTCAAGACGCAGCTCGTCGCCATCATCGACAACGACGTCGAGACCAAGCCCAAGCTGCTCTTCCGCCGGTGAGCGCCGCCGCTGTCGTCGTCGTAGCGGGAATCTTGATTATGACACGCTTTTATTTAACTCACTTCGTCTGTTGTCGTATTCTCAAAAAAAAAATCTTGTAACTCAACTTTTACACACTTCCCAATGTGGTATCGACTGCAAACTTCGTATAGGTATGTCAGACTGATGACAACACGATATTCTATCATAAAAATCAAAAACATATATTTTATAACTTTTTACACGCTTTTATTTAACTTACTGTATGTGTTGCCGTATCCAAAAATCTTATAACTCAATTTCAACCGTATTCCCAATGTCGTATCGACTGCAAACTTCGTATAGCTATGTCATACTGATGACAACACGATATTCTATAATTGAAAATTAAATATATAATTTTAAACAATTCTTTTTAAATGGCTCTAATTGTCTACGCTCAACTCACGTTGCCTGTAAATCACCACGTGGTCCCTGACGTCACGGCAAGCCTCGGGGAGCCACGCCCAGGGGCGGGGGATGTGGAAGGAGGGGGGGGGAGGCCGATGGGGGAAGGGGGCAGGGGGAGGGGCAGCTCGGATAGTCATTTCATTAAAGCGTGTTTAAAAAAAAAGAGTATTTTTAAATATTTTATTTACAACTGGAGGTGCCATCGCTACCCTCCACTAGATTATCGGCCGTTGCAAGGTCTGATGGGGCACGGTAATCTCTCTCTAGACGGAGGAAGAAATCTGATGAGCGGTTGAAGCTCTTTTTAAACAGATGCCCAGCAAGGAGCCACGGGCTCAGAAATGTAAAACACACAATCGGAGTACGGAGCATAGGAGAGGAAAGCAAACGGTATTAAAAATAATATTAATATAAATATCTAATATATAATATACATACGTAACACATGATGGAGTTCACATTCCTCGCCGCGACGATGCTGACGACCGCACCGGGCGCTCATTCGAGTGCCAGCAGGATTATCTGAACCGGTCTTGGGCCTCCCCTAGGTCGACTCGGCCTCAAATGGGGAACCTGGTGCAATGTGTACAAAAAGGCGGCCGGGCGTGGTGCTGGCCACCCACCCCCTCGTGCGCCGTTGCCGGCCTTTGATAGGTGCTGCTCGCTAACAGCATTTGCCCCTACACTCTGTTGAGGCTACACGGGGGGGGGGGTTCGTTGTGTTGGGTGTTGATGGCGGGCGGTGCGTGACCGGAGGGAGCTGTTCACCCTCTTGCAGGACGACGACGGTGGCTGAGAAGATGCTGACGAACTGGATGTCGATCTGCCTCTACACGCACCTGCGGGTGAGCGTCCTTGTGGCAACGGTGTTACCACTGCGTCCTCGTGGCAACGGCGTTACCACTGCGTCCTCGTGGCAACGGCGTTACCACAGCGTCCTCGTGGCAACGGTGTTACCACAGCGTCCTCCTCGCAACGGCGTTACCACAGCGTCCCCGTGGCAGCGGCGTTACCACAGCGTCCTCGTGGCAACGGCGTTACCACAGCGTCCTCGTGACAACGGCGTTACCACAGCGTCCCCATGGCAACGGCGTTACCACAGCGTCCTCGTGGCAACGGCGTTACCACAGCGTCCTCGTGGCAACGGCGTTACCACAGCATCCTCGTGGCAACGGTGTACCACAGCGTCCTCGTATCAACGGCGTTACCACAGCGTCCTCATGGCAACGTGTTACCACAGCGTCCTCGTGGCAACGGCGTTACCACAGCGTCCTCGTAGCAACGGCGTTACCACAGCGTCCTCGTGACAACGGCGTTACCACAGCGGCCTCGTGGCAACGGCGTTACCACAGCGTCCTCGTGGCAACGGCGTTACCACAGCGTCCTCGTGGCAACGGCGTTACCACAGCGTCCTCGTGACAACGGTGTTACCACAGCGTCCTCGTGGCAACGGCGTTACCACGGCGTCCTCGTGGCAATGGTGTTACCACAGCGTCCTCGTAGCAACGGTGTTACCACAGCGTCCTCGTGGCAACGGTGTTACCACAGTGGCCCCATGGCAACGGCGTTACCACTGCCGCAGGGTGGCAACGGTGTAGTGCTCCTGCTTTACAGCATGGAGGGTCTGGGTTCGATTGTTGACTCGGGCGACTTGTCTGTGCGGGGCTTGTACACTCTCCCTCTGTTCTACAGAGAGAGTGAGTGAGAGTGAGCGTGTTGAGTCGGGCGTGGTGCTGGCCACCCGCCCCCATGTGCGCCGTGCCGGCCTTCACAGGTGCTACTCGCTAACGGCTCTTGCCCCAACAGTCTGTTAAGGCTACACGTGGGATCTTTGTCTTTGTGCAATGGAGTGAGTGTGAGCGAGTGAAGTTTGTCGGTTCTCCCCTTGTTCTGCAGAGTTGTGAGTGAGATTGAGTGAGTGTGTGTGAAGTTTGCTAGTTCTCCCCTTGTTCTGCGAGGGTTTCCTGCCGAGTTCTCCCAAGCTAGACACACACAATGTAACTGAAATGTAACTGAAATGTAACTGAAATGTAACTGAAATGTAACTGGTATTGGCCCAAAACGTTCCCAATGCTGGAAATGTTACCTGCACACAGCAACAGCAGCAACATCGCCGCGACCGCAATAAGCCTGGCAGGACCCTCCTGAAAAAGAGACTTGAGTCTCAGTGAGGCTTTCCTGGGTAAATTAGCAAAATAGTTAACAAAACAACTTATTATTACAGAGCACATTCACAGGTAACGAATCGGCACGACCTACATTCGATCACCTGACTCAACCCCCCCGTGTCCCTGTAACATCTCATCCTTTGTACGATCTCTCCTATCACCGCGGGTCTCCATGTCCCCCACGTGCCTGTGTCTCACCTTGGCCCCCCGTCTCTCGGTGTGCCCCGTTTTGTCTCCGTGTCTCTCCGTGTCCTCGTGACCCCTCCCTGTGTCTCTCTGTGTCTCTCCGCGTGGCGGCGTGTCCCCACTCCCTCCCCGTGTGTCCCCTGTGTCTCTCCATGTCCCCGTGTCCCCGTGCATCTCCACTCCCTCCCGGTGTGTCCCTGCAGGAGACGGGAGGCAAGCCGCTCTACATGCTGTTCAAGGCCATCAAGTACCACGTGGACAAGGGCCCCGTGGATGCGCTCATGCACAAGGCCAAGTTCACGCTGGACGAGAACTCGCTGCTCAAGAACAACATCGAGCACAAGGAGCTGGTGCGTGTGTGTGTGCACGTGTGTGAACGTGTGTGTGCGTGTGTGTGCGTGTGTGTGTGTGTGTGCGTGTGCATGTGTGTGTGTGTGCGTGTGTGTGTGTGTGCGTGTGTGTGTGCGTATGTGTGTGTGTGGGGAGCGGTAGTGTAGTGGTTAGCGCGCTGCGCTATGAACCTGGCGACCCGGGTTCGATTCCCACTCACACCAACACCAGTGACGATTATCTGAACCGGTCCCGGGCCTCCCCTAGGTCGACTCAGCCTCAAATGAGTACCTGGTGCAGTGTGTAAACATCGCCACTAGGGAGACAAAGGCGGTCGGGCGTGGTGCTGGCCCACTCACCCCCTCATGTACCGTTCCGGCCTTCATAGGTGCTCGCTAACAGCACTTGCCCCTACAGTCTGTTAAGGCTATATGGGGGATCTTTTGTGTGCGTCTGCGTGTCTGCGTGTGAGTGTGCGAGGTGTGTGTGTGCGTGTGCGTGTGCGTATGTGTGTGCGCGTGTGTGTGTGCGTGTGAGTGTGCGAGTGTGAGTGTGCGAGTGTGTGTGCGCGCTCCTGGGGAGTGACAGTGTAGCGGTCAGCGCTACGCTGCACTACGAACCCGGCGACCCGAGTTGGATTCCCCGCTCACGGCTACCAAGACCGGTGACGATTATCTGAACCGATTGCGGGCCTACCCTAGGTCGACTCGGCCTCAAATGAGTACCTGGTGTGGTGTGTAAACATCGCCACTGGTGAGACAACAACAGTCTATTAAGATTTACGGGGGGGAATCTTTGTCTTGTGTCGCTGTGCGTGCCGAATCAGACCCTGAAGGTGAACCTGGAGGAGATGTTTGCGGCCAACGGCGCGGTAGGGGAGGCGCCGGTG